CGCTTCTCCTCCGATTGAAGCGTTGCACACCGTCTTTATGTTCCATTTTGATTTATTTATTTTATTTTTGAAGCCAAGCAACAGATTCTCTCAAAATTTCCCGAGAATTTGCCTTAATCATTTCAAAACAGAAGATAAAAGTAACAAAAAGTAACCCCAGGCGACGTGAAGACTAAATCACAACAATTTTTTTACTTTCGAACTTGAGCAGGTAAATTTTTTCAAAAAAAAAAAAAAAACAAAAATAACAAAACGAAACGAAAGGTTCCGCGGAGCACATTTTTCACTAATCTTGCAAAAAACGGAAGAAAACTCGAACCAATGCGCGAACCAATCGCGAAAATCGCGAGCCAATGTCATAGAATGAAGAGACTACGTCTGTCTCTTTATTCTATGCCGATGCATAGACAGATTTTCCAGATTTTCACATCCCTGAGAGAGTAGCCCGGCAACGGATGCACAAGTCGGAGCTCGCAACAATCATGGCGCGGCGTTTCCAACAGCGCGACGCCGAACTCGTTCCATCTTCCTCGCACTCGTTGGACGCTTAACTCCTTCCATCTTCCTCGCACCCGTTGCGCGTACCAGAAGAACACACGTAAAATTTATCAGCTGTCTTTCAGCGCGAAACGCGGAAATCGCTCCATCTCGCTCGCACTCTCTCTCGCACCCGTTGTCCTTACGGAAAAATCGACCCACGCGGACCACGATATCCCGCGAACCGGCGGGCGGATCGCGAAATCCTCCCTTATCCGGCGCCTCGCGGTAGAGAGGGATCCCAGTGCGGAATCTCAGGGTCATACGGCCTTCCGTTCACGAGATCCGCTGATACGTGAGTGAGTGAGTGAGTGAGTGAGTGAGTGAGTCAATCAACGTGAAGTCTGCTTTATTAGTATAGATAAAGTTTTCTTTCTCCAAAATTTTCTATGAGACGCGGCGCGGCTACGGCTCAACCAAATTTTTGGGAGAATCATCGTTTTTCACTGTAATTCGGAGGCGGTTTTGGGCAGAAATTCATGGGATATGACAACCTGTAATGTTTCATTGAATGTTTTGGACTCGGAAGACAAGGCACATTAGTTCAGTTTTAGCAGGGAGGTGATTCAATTCTTACTGTCTTTATAGTTGGCCACCATAAGCCTGTGTCACACTATATCAAAGTTAGCCATCAAAATATCATCAAGGTCGGGTGTTGTGATTGCCTTATATTCAATAACTTGGACCAATCACATCACTTGACCTTGGCTTATTCGATGACTTGGACCAATCATCGATAACTTGGACCAATCCCAGCACTTGACCTTGGCTTATTCGATGACTTGAACCAATCATCGATAACTTGAACCAATCACAGCACTTTGACCTTGGCTTATTTGATGACTTGGACCAATCACAGGACTTGACCTTGACATTTTGATGCAGTATTTTGATATTTTCACACAGGCTATAGTCTTAATTTGCACGTGATTCTGGTGATAAGACTGAGGGATGGGATGTTTCATTCTACCATGACCCGCCAGAATTGGCACAATCTAATTCATCGTGTCATACTGATCCTCCCTTACTACATCAAGAAACTTCCAGATAGAAGCGGGATGAAAACTTGTCTCCGTGCGAGAGGGGAGGAGTATAATTCACCCCCCCCCCCCCCCCCC